GTGGCACAGCTGGTAAGAGGTGGAGGTGGGATTTGAGCCGAGGCAGTCTGGCTCTGATCTGGCTCTCCCACTAGACCACTAGACCACAAGGTGTATTTGTTGTCTAGAATGAGCTTGGGGCTGAGAGGACATCCCTGGGGTCACCAATGAGAGAGGGCAGACCTGGGACCAAACTCCCCAGGGCTACACAGCCTTGAGGGTCCTTGGGTCCCCACACTCTAGGAGATTGTGGGTGATCATTCCAGGGAGAACTTCTAGTTCTGCTCATGGGTTTGGTGGTCCCTGGGGTCCTGTTGATGGTAGACCAATGCTTCCCCAAAGCCTGGGAGAACCTGCTTTTGCTTCTTTCAAGGTCATCCCAGATGAAGCAGCTTTAAAAAACAAAAAACAATTCTGTATTTATTTATTTAGCTAAGTCGGGTCTTAGTTGCTGTGTGTGGGCTTCTCTCTAGTTGCTGCATGTGGGCTCCAGAGCATGGGCTCAGTAGTTGTGACATATGGGCTTACTCACTCCATGGCATGTGGGATCCTAGGTCCTTGACCAGGGATTGAACCCACATCCCCTGCATTGGAAGGTGGATTCTTAACCACTGGACCCGCAGGGAAATGCCCTAGATGGAGCAGCTTTAGCCAAAACTATGGATGGGGTGAGCCTTGGACAAAGCGAAAGCAAGCAGGGGTGGGAAAGGCCAGGTGATTGCAAGGAGGGCTTGGGGAGGAGGGATGTGAGATGAAGTCCTGAGGGGCACCCTTGACTTTTTCCCACTTTGGAGGGAGATAGGTAGCCTGGGAAGTGACTGGAGAGTCTCTGGGGTCAAAACCAATGGCATCTCATTGTGTGTGAGTGGGGACTAATGGTCTTACCATCCTGAGCACCAAGGGTGATTGGCTGAGGATGCAGAGGGCAGAGGGGCACAGGCTGGGGACAGAGAGGAGAGGAGAATGGAGCTGGTCACACAGGGTCGTTTCTTTCCTAATGGGACGTGAGAGGCTGAAAGTCAGGCTGAGAGAGCCCAGCAGGAAAAAGGAATGGGGGAGACAGACCAGCTGGGTCAAAGCAGGTACAACCGATGAAGGCGGGGTTGTCCCGTGTGACTCAGGAGCACTTGAGTCAGGAAGGGACCTGAAGGCACTCTTGTTCCTCAGTCTGGAAGGGCACTTGGCAAGTTCACAGATTATCCATCCTCTGTGCTTCAGTTCTGAACATTGGTCACCTGCTTGGTTGATAGCATCTGACCTGACCAGGGGACAGTGTCTTCATTACAACCACAGGTTTTGTCTTATGCTTACTTCATCTCTGATTGTTCATCTGAACCTCAAGGAGCTCAACTAATACGTGGGGGATGGAGATTTTTGCATAACGGCCTGGTGGGTGGGATTCTCAGGCCTGGGGTGCCAGAAAGGATGGTTTCTTAAAGGAGAACTGATCATGCCCATGGACCCTGGAACAGACTGGAACCTGCAACACCTATAATTCTCCTGAGGTCCAAGAAGAAACCATCTCTAGCAGATGCCTTGGCATCTACAGGGCACGTGTTATAGCATTTACTAGCACTGTTTAAGGAAACCAGTTGAGGTATTTTCCAAGTTCAATGTTACAGCACTTTTATTCAAAGGAAAAATGATCCCAGACTGCAACATAGAAAACAAATATTGGGTTGGCCAAATATGTAATTCGGGTTTTTCCATAACATCTTACAGTAAAACTTGAACAAACTTTTTGGCCAAGCCAGTAAAAGGGAAACTGGGTGGCATGTCTCTCAACTGTCTTCCTAGGCCCTTAAGGGGGTCCCTGAGGCTGTGAGACCTTTTTGAGAGCAACCCTGGGCAGACCAGAGCCCAGTGTGGCCTGAGGCTCCTGTGCGGTTGACTGCCTTTCCTGACCATTAATCGCTACTAAGTGTCATTACTGCTAATAAAATTAACCGACTTTATACTGGACTCCTGGGGCCATCAATCACAGGGTCAATTACACGAAATTAAAAAAAACAAGGAACTGTTGATGGGGGAAAAGGTGTTTGTTGAGCCGAGCTCACAAGGACAGCCCAGGGAGTGTGGTACTCCACAGCTGTCAGGAGGTGGTGATCAGGGACGACACCCTTAATTAGGCAAATTGACTCCCAGCCTTGATGTTGTTCTGCAGACAGGAATGTCTCAAGCAAGAACAGAAATGACCACAGGAAGACTCTGGGGCCAGGGACTGAAAAGCTCCCAAAATTCTCCCTCCCATTCTCACTTCTGCTTCTCTCTCTGTGTTTGATTCACTTTTTCTCTCTCTTTGGATCAGCTTTCTCTTTTTACCTCCTGAGTCACAAGCCCAGTCACCCAAAGAAAGAGAGAAAAAGCAACTGTGTGCTCTAAGTCAAATTCCAAATTTCCGGAGAAAGAATGGATTGGCCCAGCTTGGGTCATGTGATCCTCAGTGGTCCAATCAACAGGCCAGAGCAGCAAGGTCACATGGTATAAAATGGCTGACAGGGAAACCATGGAGGTAGAAAGACCAGGTAGGCAGTCAACCTGACAGGTGTCTGCAAGAGTAATTTAAGGGACTTAGTAATAAGCACTCAAAATATGGTAGATAATATTGTGTAGTAGAATATGTTATATATTATATAATATAGGTCTAATGATATAAAAATAATAGCCATTGTTCTGCAAATGTCATTTGAGACAAGTCTTGAAGGATGTGCAGCCCTGTTGGCCAAAGATTCCCAGCATTCCCTGCTGTCCTCTCACCTGTCAATCACTACTACAAGGGAGGTCCCAATTTCTGAAACACAAGAACTGCCTGAGCAGAAATTGTCCTTCACACCCACCGCTGGTGTGGGGAGGAAGACATCTGGGGGCTAGATGGCTGCTGTGCCGTTTGCTCCTGCAGCCCCCAAGCTGCCCTCCACACCGGAGGCCGTTCAGGGTGGGGCCCCCTGGGCTGGAGTTGACATCAAGTTCTGCTCTGGACCTGCCCAGGATCGAGCTCTAAGGAGGGTTTCCTGCCAGATTGCAGGGAGGGGTTTGGGTGTAGACCTGGTGGACTGGAAATTTACCCATTTGCCCCCAGATTAATGATTAACGGGTCCCTGCTCTCACCCTGTCTGGGAGGGGAGCCCAGGGCCAGGCTGGGCCGGGAGGAGCCTGATAGCATCTGTCTCTGCTCAGGGGTTTCGGAGATATGCTCCACACTGGGTTGGCTGCACCTGATGGATTTGGAATCTACGGGTACTCTCTGGGGGCACTTGGGGCCTGTCCAGGACCCACACCCTCCCTGGGGCAGACAGGCAGGGTGTGGCATCCAGCCAGATGTCCTGGCTGGGGCAGGTGGCTCCAAACAGGAGAGCCATGCTCTTGGCTCTGTGGTATGTGGGCTTCTCTGACCACTCAAGGCTTGGCCACAGGGCTTGCCTTGGCTGGTGGTGCTTGAGCACGAGTGACATGTGTCACATCCAAGCAGGAGCTTAAGAGCTGGCACCTGCTTCCAACCTTGATCTTTTTCTGTGGTTATGAGCCCAGCATATTCCAGAAAGGGGCTGCATTCTGGTTTCCAGATTGATGTATATGTTCCACCCACACCAAGGGCCACCAGGGTCCAGGAAACAGCAGATAACTTGAACTGGGAGAAACCTCGTGGACCGCTTCTGGGGGGAGGGAAGGTGATCTCTATTAGTAGTCCTCACCTTGCTGCTGATCTGCTGTAAAACGAGGGCTAGTCATCACCTCTTTGTAAAATCTAAAACTTTTGTTTCCTTATCTGGACAATGGGAAGATTCTGGCCAGGTTAGAGAGTAAAGCATCATGCAAGAGGAAAGAGTTGAGAAACTCCAGCCAGGGGGGAAGTGAAACAGCAAGTCCCAGACTCTGTGGTTAGTAACTTTTCATACAATCCTCCCAGCAGTGCAGGAGGTGGAGAGGATCACTCTTTCCACTTCCCAGAGGAGAAAAATCAATCCTTCTGGATGACACAGCTAGGAAATGACAGTCAAACCACTAGAACGTGGCAGCCTGACTCAAGCATCCCTGGACTTCAGATACAGCAGAATAAGAAGTCAGGGGCTGATAGCCTGATGGAAATGCAGCTTCTTCATTTGCATCCACCTGCCAATCTATCCACCCATCCTTCTTCCTTCATCTCTCCATCTTCCCAATCTTCCATCCATTTGGGTATTCCCCAAGTATCTCTTGGTAGCAGACATGGAGTGGCCAGATGGTTAAAGGTTTATGGGGATTATGGAGACAAGTTAGATTGGCATGGTGTTACTTGGGCAGCTACCTAATGTAAGGGGGAGAGGGATGCCAGGGCCATTGGCCGGATACCTTCTCAGTGTCTACATCCCTCTGCCACCCCCTCTTAGCAACATGGCTCTCCCTTCCTGGAAGCAGCTAATAACTACACGCACTATTTCCCAAACTGCCCTGATTCTCAATGCTGCCCAGGGAATGTGGTAAATGTACAGATTCCCAGGTCCTATTCCAGACCAAGAGAAGCAGAACTGTTAAGTATAGATCCTAGGCATCTGTGGTGGTTTTTTTTTGAGTTTAAAAGAAAAAAAAATTTTTTTAATTAAAAAGTTTTTATTTTTTGGCCACATTATGTGGCATATGGGATCATAGTTTACTAACCAGGGATTGAACCCATACCTCCTGTGTTGGAAGCATGGAGTCTTAGCCATTCAATCACCAGAGAAGTCCTGGGCATCTGTATTTTAAATAAGCATGCCATATGATTTTTCTGATTCAGCAAGTTTGGTAAACAAAGTGGATAAGAACAGCAGAGACTTTGGCTTCCAGAAAACTTGAGTTTGAGATCTTGCACTCACCCTTGTTATAAGCACCTTGGTTTCTTATTCTGTAAAATGGGGTCAGCCTCCCTCCCAGAAGGCCAAATAATGCAGCCCCCAAGAAGGGCCCCTTCCCCTCACCTGCCCCCCATCCTTAGGGGTTGTCGTCTTTCACCCTCCATCACAGCCCCCAGGGGTCACTGGTCTCCCTTCTCTTGCCCCCTTTAGCCTGACTGGGCGGGAGGTCCTGACGCCCTTCCCCGGGCTGGGTACCGCTGCCCCGGCACAGGGTGGGGCCCACCTGAAGCAGTGCGACCTCCTGAAGTTGTCCCGCCGGCAGAAGCAGCTCTGCCGGCGGGAGCCAGGCCTGGCTGAGACCCTGCAGGACGCCGCACACCTCAGCCTGCTCGAGTGCCAGTTTCAATTCCGGCATGAGCGCTGGAACTGCAGCCTGGAGGGGAGGACGGTGCTGCTCAAGAGAGGTAGGGAGGAGGGCTGGGGAGGAGGGTGAGGAGAAGGAGACCAGGGAGGAGAACTGGGAGGAGGAGGCTTGGACGAGGAGGGTGGGGGGAGGACTAAGAGGAGGAGGGCTGCCTTTCCCACTCCCCAGGCCCCTGTCCCCAGTCCACGTTGCTCTTATGAACCCGGCTCAGAAACAGGTTAGTCCAACTAGCTCACGCATCACCTTGGAGTCAAGATCAGTGGTTTAGCCCAACTTTGGCACTCACCAGGTGCCTAAGCCACTTTTCTCTGCATCTGTGTTCTCATCTGTTCAGTAGAGGATGCAGCCCCCATCTTGCCGCCCTGAGAACCTGGGTACACACCCCACAGGGAACAGGACGCTCCATTTAGACAGCAACTTGCAGCCTGAGTTTAAGGGGCGGGAGACAGGGCGACTGCCCTGAACTGTGTCCTCGGGGTCACACGCCCCTTGTCCTGTTCATCACAGCAGCCCCTCCCTCCAGCCCATCTATCCTCAGAGGGCAGCTCACAGCCCCTGAGCCCACTCTCCTCCTCCCTCCTGATCCCACCCCCCGGCCCAGGTTTCAAGGAGACGGCCTTCCTGTATGCAGTGTCTGCAGCCGCCCTCACGCACACTCTGGCCCGGGCCTGCAGCGCTGGCCGCATGGAGCGGTGCACCTGTGATGACTCCCCGGGCCTTGAGAGCCGGCAGGCCTGGCAGTGGGGCGTGTGTGGCGACAACCTCAAGTACAGCACCAAGTTCCTGAACAATTTCCTGGGGCCCAAGAGAGGAAGCAAAGACCTGCGGGCGCGGGTAGACGCCCACAACACCCACGTGGGCATCAAGGTGAGTGCATTGCTGGGTGTAGAGCCGGGGAGCCGGGTCTCTAGGAGGCCAGTACCCACCCTGCCCCCCCAGGACACACAGAGAGGTGGTTCAGGATGAACCTCATCCTTTCAACCGGTGTTCCTTGGGCATCTACTCTGGACCATTGTCAGGTACCAGGCAGTGGGGAAGAGTCCTGGGCATCATAGGTTGATGGGCAGCAGGTGGGAGCCTGGCTTGGTGAGGCAGGATCGTGTTTGGAGAAGGGTCTCCATTCCAAGCACTGGCCTTCCTGGAGGCCCTAGGAGCCAATGCTGTTTGAAAAGTGATCTGGTACAACCCCTGGCCCTCCTCCATTTTACAGATGGAAAGACAAAAAAGGCCCAGAGAGGGGAAGGGACTTAGCTGAGGTCACACAGCAGTGGAAAGACTGGAGGGCAAAAACTATCCTGGTCTGTTGGGCCCAGAAAGCTGGGAGAAGCTCTGGCTCCATTTCTTTAAGAGAGTGTTTGAGTTCTGTGTCCTGTGTTCTTATCACTGAGTTGGTGTAAAGCAGGGCTGCTGTGTTCAGTTGTGCTGTCTGCTCCACAGGAACTTCAGGCCAGGGGAGGTGCTGGGGGTGAGATCCAGCCCCCGCTGCTCTCACCAAGGCGTGAGGCCCGTCTCTGCCCAGGAGAAGGGGCGCTTAGAGCTAGTTTGCACTAATGTGCCACATGAACCAGCTTGAGTTTTAGCTGCCCACTTCATATGGACCTCCCCTGTCTCTCTCCCATCCTCCTGCGGCTCCCCGGCCACAGTCGGTGCTCTGGGGGCTGCGGCCCGGGGGCCCCTGACCACGCCTCCCTCCTGCCTCTCCTCGCAGGCCGTGAAGAGTGGCCTCCGGACCACATGTAAGTGCCATGGCGTGTCAGGCTCCTGCGCTGTGCGCACCTGCTGGAAGCAGCTGTCCCCGTTCCGCGAGACTGGCCAGGTGCTGAAGCTGCGCTACGACTCGGCCGTCAAGGTGTCCAGTGCCACCAACGAGGCCTTGGGCCGCCTGGAGCTGTGGGCACCGGCCAGACCAGGCAGCCCCACCAAGGGCCCGGCGCCACGGCCTGGGGACCTGGTCTACATGGAGGACTCCCCCAGTTTCTGCCGGCCCAGCAAGTACTCGCCTGGCACAGGGGGCAGGCTGTGCTCCCGCGAGGCCAGCTGCAGCAGCCTGTGCTGCGGGCGGGGCTACGACACCCAGAGCCGCCTGGCGGCCTTCTCCTGCCATTGCCAGGTGCAGTGGTGCTGCTACGTGGAGTGCCAGCAGTGTGTGCGGGAGGAGCTAGTGTACACCTGTAAGCACTAGGCCCGCCGCCCAGGGTGCCAGCCAGGTGCTGCCAGGACCTGCCAGGGCACCGGGCCGCCTCCAGGCCACCCAGCCGTCCAGCTGCTCCCCCCTGCAACCCCGCTCCCGCCAGCCCGGGCCGGAGCACGTGGCATGTGATCGCCCATGTGCGTGCCAGCACATTCATGCGCCTCTCCCCGTTGGCTCCCATCAGTCTTCCCCTCTCTCAGCTCTGAACCTGAGGATCCCCAGCCTGGCTGAGGACTTGGAGCAGGAGGGCAGAGTGGAAAGGATGTGGAGGGAACGAAAGGAGACCCAAAGGAGGGCAGGACTGAGGTTTTAGAGAGGGGAGAGTGTACATCTCACCGTCACGAATCCTGGGATTAGTGGCCTAAAGAAAGCCAGAGGTTGGGAGGTGAACTTCTGGGCCAAGAAGGCCCAGGGAGGCAGGGTCAGCTGGAAGCTAAGGCTGGAGTCTGGCTGGGATGGGTCAGGCCAGTCCTCAGGCCCCACACAGGTGATACTCAACCCCGGGAGTCATGCACCTTCATTTCCCCACCCTGGAGCTTTGCTGTGCTAGAAATGGGAGGAAAGGCCAGGTGGTCGGAGCCGTTGGTCTGGAGAAAGGAAAGCAGGAGTCAGATATGTGCCCTTGATCCTTGTGATTTGGTTTTTAAAATATGCCTCCACCAACCCTCATTCTCACCTTGAGAGCTGAGTAATCCACGCCCAACCAGCGCTGCTCAGTAAAAACACCAGTGAATGCGAGCCCAGTAGAAGAGCCAGTCCCCAGGGTGAGGCTCAGATAGTACACCGAGGTTGCCCAGGGGGACAGAGACCCCTCAGTGTCTCAGACCCCCACCAGGAGCCCACTTGGGTCAGCTCCCTGTGGCCGGGGTCACCGTGTGTGGTGAGGCCCTGCACAGCCGGCATTCATGATATACGAGAGTTGGTGTATGAGTTTTGATTCAGTTACATTTCTACGTCTACAGCTACTCACCTAATTAAGATTTTTGCTTGGGCAGGAGTTATAAATATGGGAAGTGTTTGCTAAGCTGGGCTCTTTGGGGGCCCCTTTCATTTACTAAGGGCCCCCCACCTTGGCTCTTTGCTGAGGAAGAGAAGTGGCTGCTAATTCCTTCTGATACTGTGGACATTTCCAGGGCTACCTACTAAGGCCCTGGGAGGGACGCAAAAGGAGCTGGTACTACCCACGGGTACACACAGGCCTCCCCGCTCCAACACGCAGGCACACCCCTGGGACCTGCCAGGCTGAGGGCTCTCATTCAGCGGCACACGCCTCTCTGGATCAGGATGCAGACTTTGCAGGGGTCACTTCGCTGGAAGCCGTGTGCTCTCCCAGAGCAGGGCCCGATGCCAGCCGGGAGGAAGTGACCTCCTTCGGGACGCCCTTGGCTGCTCTGTTGGCCCTGCCGCGCCCTCTGTCAGCTTCCTCTCTCCCTGAACCCAGAGTTGCTGACCCTTTGCCGGGACAGGAAACTTCAGAATCAGCCAAGTGCTGAGAAACCGTCTGTGCAAGCCCCAGGAAGCAGCCCCCGGGGGCTCCCTGGGATCTCCGAGGGCAAGGAGACCCTTCCCCTGTCTTCGGTGGATCACGCAGCCTCCTGACGGATGCTGGAAGGATCTTCGGCTGCAGAGGCTCTGATGAGAGGCCCTAGTGACCTGAGACCTCTCCCGAGAGTGACTTTGCTGACCCGAGCAGCGGCCCACATCTTAGCAGGAAGAGAAGAAGGAAAAAGGGCTGTCTCCCCAGTTCCCTCCACGCCCCCAGCGCATGAAGACTTTCTCTCTGCCTGCCCGATCCATCCTTCTCCTCTGAGACCCCAGCTCTGCCACTATCATGGCTCAGCCCAAGGCATGAGGCAGCAGGAAGAGGGGACCTGATCCTCTGACATGCCATTCGCATCCCAGGTCCACGGCCAGCAGTGCAGGGGTGGCAGGAAGATAAAAGGTAGACTCTGAGGGACTGAGGCCACGACCGGCCAGGAGCACTGACCAGGCCTAGGATGCGGTTCAGGGCCCTTCAGCCTCTCAGGTCCTCGCTGTCCAGCCATCTCCCCTCTCCTCCTTCCCTGCTCCCACCCCATCTCTTCTAATTGCCCCCAGAGGTCCATCTCAGCCTGACTGGGGCTCCTGGGACCAGTGACCACTGACCCCTCATTCTATAGCATTAAGGGAAACAGTCACAGGGTATTTTGTGTCTACCTCGCATATATATATATATATAGTTTTTAGGGCAAAAGAAAATAATTTATATAGCTAAGATATATGAGAGAATATTTATGTTATTTATATAGTTTCTATATTTTATGGGCAGCATCTGTGGGGGTTGTGTATTCTGCTGGAAGCCTGTGTATATCTGGGGAAATACAGCTGGCCTGATTGGGGTCCCCACTGAACTGGACACCAGTGGCCAGGGAAGAGGTCTGGCGGACTCCATGTCCCTTGGCTGGCTCTGTCCGGGAGCTGGTGAGCAGCTTCTTTTCTGAGCGTGAACTCCGACGGGCTTCATCCGGCTCCTCCTTGTGAAGTTGTTGTAAATTCTCAGCTCTTCCGGGTCCCAGGCCCCTTCTTCTGCTCTGGAAAAACTGTCCTGCTCATGATAATAATGATAACAAGGATGACCACACTTGGCATTTGTAAAGCACTTTTGATCTTCGGAACCACTTTTGTCCCTCTAGTCTCCCTCGATTCCCCTTTATCCGTGTGAGATAGTTGCGGCCACATCATGACCCATTTTATAGATGCCGCCGAAAGATGGAGGGCTGTGCTCGAAGTCACATTGAAGAGGTCCTTTCACTGAATATTTTCTGAGCATCGACATGGGCCAAGTGATGGCAGCTGATCTATCTTGGACCTGGGAGCCCCAAAGTCTGGATACACCCGGAGCCCAAGAACCCAGGGAAGTGGCTGCTCCCCCAGGCTGTGTCTGACCCTGCCTCTTGATCTGGAGAGCATGTCAGCATTTTCTGTGTCTCAGGGGTTGGGACTGCCTGAGGGGCCTAGAGAATTGAGGACCCCATGGAGGCTACTACAGGGGCTCCACCACTGGGTCGTCCCTCCCTTTGCCCATACCACCTGAGAGGGTTTGGCTGTATTTGGGGGCCCCTCCCAGCCCAAAGATGGGTTTTATTTGCTCTCGTTTGTGTTTTTCTTTTCTTTTCTTTTCTTTTTTGGCCACACTGCACAACCTGTGGGATCTTAGTTTCCCCCATCAGGGATCGAACTCTTGCTCCCTGCATTGGAAGCACAGAGTCTTAACCACTGGACCGCCAGGGAAGTCCTTGTGTTTTTTCCTTTAAAGATGATTTGTTTTCCTTTGGATTTCTGGCTTCTTTTGTAAAATCAGCTGCACTGGCCTGCTGGTCCTTCGTTCCCACCCTGGCCATGGTCAACTGGAGAGAGGGAGCCCTATTAGACAGGATACATGGGGGCTCCCTATTTGCCAAGTACACCTCAGCACACACACCTCACTCATGCATGTTGCTGGCTCTTGTGGGCACGTCATGTCTGTCCCTGGTTCGGATAAACCCAGCTTCTCTGGTGTCCTCTGCTGGTCAACAGACATACAGACAGACCAGCCCTGAAGATTACTTCTTGCTTCCCCGAATTTCCTTTCTCAACAATCATGAACTTCGAATGCTTTATGTCTCAGCACATTTGAGAACCACAGTGGGAGCTATCACGTGTCAACCATCCGTTCTGTTCATCCAGGCAGTCAATGGTGGTTTAGGGAGCTCCCATTGAGCATCAGGCACCAGCCGGGGTGCTGGGGTGTAGCAGGGAAGGAGACGAAGTCCCTGCCTTGTGGGGCTGCCCCTCTAATGGGAGAGAGAGACAATAAATCAATAAACCACATGTCAGCTCTTGGTACCTATTTTGTCTCACTTTGTAGCAATGACCACCCCCATCTCATGGTCAAGATAACAGAGGCTGTGAGGGGTGAAGGCTCCGAATGACAAGCTATGGTGTCAGGATTAGAACACAGAGTGCATGAACGCCAAAGGATGAGTTCTTTTTTAAAAAAACTTTGACTTTGTATTGAGGCATAGCCGATTAACAATGTTGTGATAGTTTCAGGTAAACAGCAAAAGGATTCAGACACACATATGTGTGCAAAGTATGACTTCTTGCTTCTGCACTGTTGCCTGCCCTCGGAAGGAGGGAGCACAGAGATGGATCATCACATTTTATAGATCCTGGGTCAGCTGAGGCCCAGAGGAAGGAGGTGACCCACCAAAGGTTATACATCAAGTAGGACCAGGCCAGAGCCCAGGTGCCCTCCTGGAGATGACAAGTATTTCTAGTGCCCACAGCCTGTGGCCAGCCATGCAGGGTGACCCCCTGGGGCACCCCAGGGGGGCAAGTTAAAGCAGAGCAGGAGCCTTCAGGGACTTGTGGTCCCCTAGGAGGCATGAGACACACAGCCGTGCAATGTTTTCAGTCACTTACACATCAGCCTCGAGTCCCTCCCTGGCCACTGCCTTCCCAGCATGCTTTGGGATGTGCAAATGCGTGTCTTCCACCAGCTGCTCCTGGAGGTCTGATGGGAGAGGAGGCCCCTTTCAGAACAAAGGGTGGCAGAGAAGGCTTGGCCCTGCCTGCCCTGGCTCTTCAGCCTTCTGGGATCCACACGGGGTCCCCAGGGAGGGAGGAAGGGTGAAGTCCACCCCTCTGCCTGTCTTAATGTGTTCCTGCTTCCTTGTGTTCTTGGGCCCAGAGTAGTGACAGACGTGTTCACACCCACAGCATCAGGCTCCAGCCTGCCGAAGGATTTCTCACCTGTTTCCTCACTTGAGCCTCATGAGGGAGGCACCTTTCTTCCCTTTTTACAGAGAGGGAACTTGAGGCACAAAATGGTTAAGTGACTCACTGCAGACCCAGGTCTTAGCCTCTAAACCCTGTCTTCTTTCTACCCTATACTGCCTTCAGCCTCTTCCCACTCATATCTGAGCCTTTCACTTCTCCAGTCCCCAAACCAGCTCCCAAAGAGGCCCTTG